TATTAATTCAAGGATGTAGCAATTCTATAAATATTACAAGGCTGCATGGTTCTACCCAATCCTCTTATGTGCTTTTTCAATCTTTCACTTATCCATAGACATAGTCAGCTGAGTAGGTATTTAGGATAATCGATTAGTTATGGACTCTTGGCAGAGACAAATGGCACGCTGGTGCAAGGGTCAATTCATATATTTGTTTTATTGCCTGCGACGAGACTTCATCGAATATGAGTTTAGAGGAAAAGTGTCTCACCTTCACAGTTTCCAGAAAGGAAGCAAGGAAAGTTCTTTTAAATCATATCTACGAGTAATGCACAGCCAGACACTTATTCAACTCTCTAATTTTTAGCGAAGTAAAGTACACAGAGTACAATGTTAAGTACGTCCAACGGAAAAAGTCGAAACCACAGAGTTTTATAATGTATGGAAAATTCGCGGCCTTGAAGTATCTTGTAAGAACGACAATACATAGGAATTTGAGAAAGTAGTCTCATTCATTGTTAGGTTCTGTATTCATAAATTGACGAAATGCGAGGGATCTTTCAATTGCGCGGAAAAAAACCAGGAATGCATGTTTTAACCTAAACTTAACCGGTCTCACAGAGAAGAAGAAAGTTCGTTACCGTCGAAGTGTTGGTCTTTCTAACACTTTCATCATGGGGTCAATTCTGGTGTAAAGTTTTAAAGCAATTAATGACGGGTTGGATGACATCTATTTTCATGCCATCAGGCAAGAGTCTTTTCTTAAAGGTAGAATCAACAGAGGCTGTTAAGCAGTCGTGGTATGTAACCTTCTGTTGCTTTCCAACAGAGTGGTATTCATATGTCAATCCTTAAGGAAAGAAGGGCCAGTGGGCCCGTGACTTGACCAGAGCTTGAACCCTGAGCCTCTCATTCTGAATCAGTCGTTGTACCAACTAAGAAATCCTGATCTTCACCCGATGTCAAGGCACCTACAGCTGGAAGAAATTGTCTGGTCGACAATCTAGCTGAACTGTTGCGCTCAGGATGGTCTTCATTGACCAAAATCTGGACACTTAAATAACGTGAGGGAAATAGATTTGCAGACAGAGGGTTCTTGTTGTCAGAGGCCGTGTGCAGCATCATGACTTTTTAAAGACACACAAACTAACGATCTTTGCTTGAGGCGGTGAAGAAGAACGTGGTCAAGCAATGCAAATGCCACGGCGTGTCTGGCTCCTGTACGACAAGGACCTGCTGGGAGGCGATTCCAAATTTTCGCGTCATAGGAAATGACCTCAGGGAGAAGTACGACCATGCGCTGCACGTAATCGTGAACCCTGACGGGGCCGCACTAATGCCGGCCGAGGAACGCCGCTTCGACTCTGTCTCCGGGTGGAGGAAGCCATACAAGAGACAGGCGGTCAACAAGGTTGAGCTCGTATATTTCGAGCCCTCGCCGGATTACTGCGATAACGATATACGTACAGGTAAACGATCGTGTGATCACCTCGACTGCGATTTGGACCTCGGTCTTTAGGCTCCTTGGGGACAGCCGGTCGTCAATGCAACCTCACCTCTTCCGGCCCCGACAGCTGCGATGTTATGTGCTGTGGTCGGGGCTATGACACCGTTAGCTACATGCGTACTTTCAAATGTCACGTAAGTACTTTTTTACTTTCTACGTTTACAGTAACACACCTTGATGTATCTGCAAGTTAAGAACTTCCTCCATTTAGTCGTTGTAAGAGTTTCTACCGCATTTTTAAGAAGAATAATTGGGTGAGGAGGCTTCCCTTCCAACTGTATGCTCGTTCCGTTCAAACCGGCGTCTTGTACAGTGTCAAGTGGAGCTTTGGATTTTTCGACTCTGCAGATTAACTACTGTTCTGGAAGTTCGGCATAGCTTGCATTACTTCACTGACTGCATACACGGTTAATGATAGTAGAGGAAGGTGGGACAAAAACCCATATTAGCCTATGCTATCCGTAAACCAGAATAGCAGAAGACAGAACCTTGTGGGAAAACCTTGGTGAGCATTCATCCGGCAGAGGCTCGTAAAAGCTTGCTGCTGCTGCTAATGATGATGAGGATGAGGATGACACCTGTTTGTCTGAAGAGTTTGTTGCTCTGTACGTGTTTTCTTTGTTTTACTGTATGCAGAACGTTTCAGTGTAAATTCGTATGGTGCTGTCGCGTGGACTGCCTCACCTGCACTGAACTGGTTAACAAGCACACGTGCAAGTTTCCGGCCGGGTCTGCGCAAAACAGCACGATAT